CAGAGTAAGACTACGGATACCAGCTTACCACGCGTCCAGTTCAGGAATCAAATCAGCATCGGATTCTGCCCAGACCAATAGACCTTCAGATGGATTTGCCCTTGAAAGAAAGTTTCGTTCGGGAAACATGGACTTTCATGCTAGAAAAGTCGAATCTATGGTTTGAGGAATTACTCATGGCTATGCCACTGGAAACTTGGAAGCAGGATTTAACCGTGGCGCTCGGCCAATTGAAAATTCTTTCACGATCACCCTCCTTAGGGAGTCTCGATACTCCTCACCACCACTCGGGGGGTCACCCACGATTTAGCCCTTACCATCTACCACCATACCATGGCTGTCTCTCTAGCTTTTGATTGTGACCCAGGTCGACACACTGCAAGGTTGCAGCCCACTTTTACTTTCCAAAACAGCCGTCGAGCGGCGGGGAGGGTCACACTTATTTTTTCAAGTTCTTGTCAAAAGTTACCAAAATCACGTCAAAAACGACCACCTCTTCCGCAACCAGGGCCCCTTCGATTCCAAAATGCGACCCTTTTGACCTTTTGACCTGCGTCAACTCCAGTCACGACCCTCCCCCGAATCATAAGTACGAGCTCCTGTCTTGATGGGCCGCTCTGACGATTCACCCAGCTCGGAACTGTACGGTATTGGGCGCGCATACGAGCCAGGACCCTTCTCCAGTGTTTTTCAGGTCCTTTGAGTGTATTAACAGTTATGAGCTGTGGAATTTTCGAAAAAAAAAACAACCGAAAACCATAATAAATTCTTCATTACAAACTTATGAAAGCCGAAAGTTTATATAAATAGCTCAAATTTTGGAATATTTGGATATTACATGTGCTCATGGTGCTACTAAATCAAAACCGGATCATTTCACTTATCGATCTGGAGATTCGGCGATTTAGCGACCCTTTTGGTCGATATTCAAACATTCCCTCCAACAGATGGCTGGATCTTGAAACAGCAAAATCTCCGGAAACGTGGGCTATGAACGCGGTTTGAAAATGCGGGATCCCACACTTCCTGGTGCCCGTTTGAGGGTCCTGTGGGAGCGTTTGGCAGTCTGCCAAAATCATGGAGACGGTTAGCCCAGCCCACACGAAGGTTCAGGTATTTGGATTAGCTAGAGTAGATTTGTACGGAACTTAAGGCCTTCGAATGATCCAGTTTTAATTTAGTAGCGCCATGAAACAGACAATATCCCGCAAAACATACGACTTTCTCATTCTACTCGCTGTATTCTCTACTTTGTCAGGACTACATGCACCAAAATGTGCAGGTATATGCTTTTTTAACAAGATATTTCGGCTATTTGTCTTGATTGACGTCAAGAACAGCAAATTCAACCAGTCGTTTTCCCAGAGCGTTGTTGGAGGAAGAGGGGTAGAGCTTTTGAGTAGGTACTGATCAAGATAGATGAGTATTTTGAGGAATAACGAACCGTAGGGAGCACAAGGAGGATATCATTTTTGAAGACGTGTTCACAGTGAGTTGAACAAGTGATAACTGATTATCAGAATCGACATCAAAGAAATGAGTGGATTGTCGAACGAGGCAAATGAAAGACATGTTGACGTGCTCCAACGCGAGCAGACGCTATTACCCTCATTCAATGCGCGGCGCCTTCAAGTTCTATTTATTTGTATAAGCATAAAATTTTGCCTCAAATCGATAATAATATTGAAGAAAAACCCATTCACTAATGACAGCAAGTAACCATGGAAGCACGCCAGCTGGACAGGGTCTTATACAGCAGTGATTTCCTTGAGATGATTTCAAAATCACAAGAGATAGTGTGAATGTTTTGTGGGTGCCGGCTCTTTATGTATCGATCTTTCCATACCGCGTTGCGTGTCTCACACTCACCCAGCAAGTTGTTTTGTTCTATTTTCAACAAATTTCATACGAAACTCGTTACAGATGCCTCTATTGAACAAGAAACCGATTGAAAGATGTGAATTACCGGCTAATGCGAAGCTCACAGATAAAGTGTTCTTCCTTGAAGCAAGTAATGAGATATTTCTCACATATGAGTAAGTTAATGCTTTTTGTTTTCACATTGGTATAGTTTTTCTTCTGCTTTGAGAGCATTTCCTATTTGATCTACACACTGATGGTTGATGTTTCAGCGAATTTTTCGAAAGAATGATCCAGCTAAACTCAACTCTATTCTCTTGTGAATTTACGGGCAAAACAGGTCTGACGTTTTTTGAGGCACTAGAATCGGAGAAACAAGCCATGGTATGTCTTTACTACTCACTGCACCTGACCTTCCGAGTAGACCTTGATGGGTCCATTTGGTAGTGTTTTCCGTAGATGTCACTGTAGATTTCTTCAAGATTTCTCCACTTTTTTACTCTTATTACTCCTTACACTATTATTAGTTTTTTGTTCCTACCTGAATTTCAGCAGATCCAGTTGTTTTTGCACAAAGTTGCGCTCCTAGCTAATCAATGACACACCTCCCTCTATTCCCTTAATAGATCAAATTTCGCAATCCTCCTTAAGAACCCTACCTGGGATGAATTGTCTCATCAACAAGTTACCGTACTCTTAAAAACATGCCTCTGACTGCAGGAGGACTGAAAATGTTAGTCTTCTGCTGAGTGTACTAGCATACCGGTTACAAGGCTTCTGTCAACCAAAGGGTGAGAGCGTAGCTGGAAAAGCACACACTTTGTGTCTTATTGGGACTAAGCCTTTTGAAGGAGATAAAGAAAGAGGAGATGCTGTGATAGTGTGCACTTGTGAGAGCTCCCAGACATCACTACAAAACGCTGAACCGCCAAGCCTCATGGTTGACAGAAGTCCTGAGACCTAGCATACCATGGGAGATACAGTTAGCAACATTCCTCCTTATGCGTCCCCACATTTGCAAACCACACTTATAAAAAAGGGCGATGAATAATGCTTATCTCAAGATTCCTGAGATCCGGACGCCGCTAAAACCCTTCCGTGTGGAGGTCGACGGACTACTTGAACTCTGTCCTTTAAACCGCCTCAGTTTGATGCTTCTGCCTGCGCTCTCTCGCGGATCCCTTCCCTCTCCAAGGCTTAGTCCCAGGGCTTCACCCGTTCTCTAATCGTCTGTGCTCTCCGCCATTCGTGGCAGGACCACATTCGAAAATTCAAGTAGTCCGTAAACCCCGTGTGGACCGCATCAGGAGGTCCCATCACGAACCAGAGTACTGTAGTGGGTAGGAGTGGGTGGTCCTTGGTTATGTACAGACTTGTGCACTGTCTCGAACTGGAAATGACTAACTAACTTGGGCTATTATAAAATCTTTCCTGTGAAGAGACTGATAACTCGGCTCTGGTGTGTACGAGACAGCTACCGACACACAAAGATGCAAGCAAGTGCTCTCGATCTAGGTTATTTCAGAAGGCGCTTGGAAATTTCCCTCCTCAATTGGAGCAGTCTGTTCTTTATCTTGTTAGAAAACACTTATGCCGAGGACGGTTCGATGATCTCTTGAATGATGTGTCCTTGTTTATGAAGGTTGGTTTGAGCTCTTAACCAGCATGACTAAAGTAGTCCGGAAGATTTTGGCGATGATCGCTTTTCAGGACCGATATTTCGTTGGTGAAGAGTGTTCATATATTGACGGTAATCTGAGGATACCGGTGAGGATCACCGGAGTTACCGTTGTTAAAGATTGGCAACCTGAAAACGTGTACGTTTGAGCGGACCTTCCTTGTTAACACTGG